CAAAAAAAAAGACAAGAACAACCTCCATAATAGACAAGAAATAGGAAGAATAACCAATAGTTCGAGAAGGTACGAGTTGTAAAGCGTATGATCCAATAAAAAATAGATCCATTTTAATCAATGTCTGTAAAATTGTGAGGGACATATGTGTGTTGCGGAGCTGAATATCAGCAGAATAAGTTTTGTAGTTTTCCCAACCAAATTCTTTGTAAAGAGAAAAAGACATGAAAACCATATATACAGAAAAAGCAGATATTAGACCAATGATAGTATGTTCGATTGGTTGCATTATAGCTTCATAATATTCTTTTGGAGCATTTCTATGTTCATCGCCTTTAGGGAAAATGGGATTAGTCGGAACGTATGTTGCATTGTCAGTTCCTTTATCTTCGAGAATTTCGTGTTGATAAAGCTGTATTCCCGCATATGCTAATGAAATAAAATTAAATACGACAAGGCCTATTATCTGAACAGTATTGCGATGCCAGAGAGCATCAGCAGCTAGAAGCACTTGGAAGAATAGCGAGAGTATAAATCTTAAAATGATATAAGAGGAAAGTTATTTTTTTTAAATGATGATTTTAAAATAGTTATTAAACGATAAATTAATTATAATACTTACATTGCATGGTAAATTAAATCAGCTTCAGATATTCCGTTACCTTTATCCAACAGTTTATATTGATTAACAAAACTTACATGAAAATAAACAACGAAAGCTTCTAAGACTGATATTATTATCGCTTGCAATACGAAAGAAATCAACGTGATTTTTCCTACGACAGATAATTTGATCATGATTTATACACGTATTATCAATTGAAAAATCAAGAAAATGAAATAAAGCCTTGTCGTTATTCCCTAATGTGCTTTATTAAATGAAAAAAATGCAGGGGGGATGAAAAGAATACATTCATTTCATATTTGTACAGCACAGTGGACAATTAATTAGGCTTGATTGACACATATTTTATAAACCGTATTGATTTCCTAAATAAAGGTGACTTACCTGCAGTGTCCGCCAAGCTTCTATTAGTGTTTTAGGATCTCATGTTAATCTTTAATAATTGATATGATGCGTTTGAAGTTACACTTGTTTCAAAATTGCGACATAATGATCTAACTATAACGATATTCAATGGACCTTGGACATAACATATGAACTTGTTAATTTAAAGTAAATTTTGGGATGACCATTTAATTTTGTCATTATAACTTAACTAAATATACTATTTTTAAAGATCATGTAGATCGTGTGATAATGGACATAGCAGAAATTAATTGGCAAGATCAGTGTAACGTGGTATTTAAGAAATACAGTAATGCAAAAAAAAAAAAATTCTTTGATTAATTTGGCATAGGATTTTTCTCCTAATTTAAATCCTTACTATAAGTTTCTATTATTTTATTTAGTTATATTGAGCCTTTCGATTGTCATGATTATCTGTTACGCAAAATTCTTCACAATGTTTTTGTTGGGATAGTTACACTCGTACCTTCTCGAACTATTGGTTATTCTTCCTATTTCTTGTCTATTATGGAGGTTGTTCTTGTCTTTTTTTTTG